AAAAAAAAAAAAAAAAAAGTCCATCAGGTGGTTATTCCCTACGAATCACTACTGAAATTCTTTTGTACGGAGCAATAAAATAAACACGTGTCAAAGAATCACGCTCGAGAGCTCAATGAGTTTTCCTCGTGAGAATTGGCTCCGATCAATGGGATGTCCATTATTCGCACGAATATCGCGCAGAGTCGGTAATTATAGCAAAGTGTCGATCTACCCTAGAAAGAAAAAAAATTACCTAGAGAGAAATCGAATGCCGCTTAAGACAAAACGCATCAATCGACGGTGATTACTGCCCTCGTTTGACTTTGCCGATTTCCCTTGCACAAGAGAAAACGCGAAAGCCACCTCGTACTATACGTATATATATATATATGTGTGCACTTGCAGCGTCGTCTTGAAATCTAATGATGAAATTTCAGAATAGTCGTGACTACCGGGCCGTCGCCTAATAGTATAGGCAATTCATAGATCGCTGAGTCAATTTCTATTAGCGATTAACGTTTCTCGTCCTCGTCGACGATGGCGATAAGAAGGACGCCCCATGCGCTTAAGCCATAAGGGAAAGACAATCTCCCGAGAGGAGATGGCCTGAGAGCTTTTTTCCAATTTACCCAAGATCTATTTCCTATCGACGCTACTCTGCACTTGACTGCTGTCCGCTCCGCCCTCCGTCTTCGGCTTTCATCTCTTTCTCTCCCTCTTTCTGTGTCTTGCTCTAACTCTTTCAAATTACTTGCATCCCGTTCGTAAAATATTTATTGTTTCCCCAATGAAAAAGGTCGAGAAGAATCGTGAAAAACACTCGTTTTGGGTAAAAATTCATTTAGAGATTACTTACGTCATTGAAGATGCAAGAGAAATTACCGGCTGAAACTAACTCTCGTATATGATTATGTAAGTTTTGTTATAAACTTTCGCTCTGCTTGTACTGAATTTTTATTTTGCAACATCAACAGATTTCGATGATCAAACTGGATAAAACCCTTGAAAAAGTTTAAAATATATACTCAATGTATTTGACATTAGTGATGAAGGGTTTGATCCAACAAACATATTTAAGTTAAGATGAAAGTGAAATCTATGCCAAAAAAACTGTAGCGTGATGATACGGTGAGTGTTTTTAATGCTTCAAATCGATTACTGATGAGCAAACCTATGAGCAGCAAACCTAATGTAAATGCATGTAATGTTGGTTTGGAATAGAGAAATCTTCGATAAAAGCCGATTTTATAGCACCGTGAAAATATAAACCAGTACTTGATAGCTCGTGCGCGGATTAAAAAATTGAAATTCCCAGACAAATGAGAAAAGTGCATAACAAGTTCAGCGTTAGGTCGTTACGTCAGCGTTTCCCCTCGATTTCCCGGAGGAAGCTTGACGGCAAGGAGGACACTTGTAATCGACTAAAAATATAATGACGAGCCGATGAAGGGGAGAAAAAAATAAAAGTGACCGGAAAGCCCTGCTAGCACGAAAACACTCGGAAGAAAAAAAGAAGAAGGAACGAGCAAGTCGCAAGGTTCTATGGAGCTGAGTGATGAAGTCAAAGAAGGAGGAAGAGGAGGGCGCGGAAAAGAGAGCGAAAGCAAGGTAAAGAGAGATCCTTGGGAGAAAATGGTCTGCGATGTGGATGTACATGCCATATATAAGTAGATACACTGGAAGGGCATGGACGGACGGTAGGTTGGTTATACGTACAGCGGAGTAAGAGTTGAGACTCTTCGTTTAGCTCTGAAATCGGGAGGTAATTTTGCCTTGGCTAACGTCGTTTCATCTCTAATGAACTTCTCCAAGTCGTATTTCTCCGTCTCATCCCTCTCCGTCAGCTACACACACATACACCTGTGAGCTTTTTTCGCACCTCAGCTAGCCCCTCGAAAAGGGGATGGACACACCATCTTCGTCTCGTCACGCCTCCACTTTTTTTTTTTTCTAAACTTGTTTATCATCCTTTCGCGCCAGGTGGACTTTTTTTATATGCGAAAGCGCAGAAGCTTCTCGTTTCTAATTTCCTCCTCGCGGCTTTCGCTCTCGTCTCTGCACTTGGGTGAGCGACTTTTTCTTTTCATTTTTTTTTTTTTTCTAGGTTCCTTTAATTGTGCGCTCCACTTGCTAATTGCTGGAGCGAACTTTTTACCGAGGCGCAGGTGAGAGAAAAACTACTTTGCAGCGAATAATTTTTAATGGGCGAGCATTAAACTCTACGAAGGCTGGGCGCGCGTTTCTCAAACCTGTTAAAAGGTGAAAATTTGATAAACGTATGGTCTTTTTCCTTGATGAATGGGTAGTCTTTTCAGTTTTTGTTTATCAAGGCTACCTTTTATCATCTATAAGTAAACAAAATACCTGCTCAACGAGAAAATAAAAGAATTACAATTTTACAACTTCTTCTTTTCCAAAAATAAGATGTCAAAAATTGCATCTCAAGTCTATTTACACTAGTTATCATAAGTTACTGGGTTTGGCCCAGTACACAAATTTTCTCCTTGATTTTCTTCATGAAAAACTTGGTCATGTACCCAAAATTGAAATAGTGCTGAAGTAACGTAATATGTGAGCATCGCTTAGAAAAAACTCTTCGTACAATTCATGTAGCAATCAGGATTTAAATTGCTCGAAAAATAAGAAGGCTTCATTAAGGGAAAAAAGGATTATCTAAAATAAATATTCACCCTAGAAAATCACGTTGGAAAACAACTGGCCTCGCGTGAGGGCAATCGTATAAAAAGTTCGGTGACCCGTTGCGATAGAATACAAAGTGTCCAACCTGTACCGAAAACATAACAAG